TGGCTGCTTCTGCCTCTCCTGCCAATTATCTCCCTCGCACGCCGAGCCATCCCACCTCATCTTCTCTGCACGAGTCCCATTTCCACCCCGTGGCTCCCCTGCGCCTCGGCCCCACGCGCGCATCCCACAAATCAAATTACTTGTGAGGAAATTTCAGACTTGCAAAGCGTGGCAGCACAAAGCGAGAACCCATCTGAGGGGCTCTGACCTCAGCTCGTTTCCCTGCCCTCAGAAGTCGCTGCTGCAGTCCTTTGTGTTTTGCCAACCCCACACTCCTGCTTGGTGACCAGGATTTGGGTGCAAGGCAGGAAAATGCTGAAATCAAACCAATTTTAAACCGGCTCCCATGGGTCTCTTGTCCTGCCTGGCCTCCTCCAGCTTCACCCAAACACGACCTCTGGGCCTCAGCACCTCTAACAGACATCTCACAGCTGCCTGGTACACAGCACTCACCTCTGGCATCTCTTCATCTTCCTCTTCAGAGGACACCTCTTCCTGCGTGCTCTGTGAGGACAAAAATCACACTGTGAGCTTCCTCTGGCGACGCTCCCCTGCTTTCTGAGACACTTCTGAGGTGAGGTTTACACACAGAAGCAATGTAAAGGCAGAACAAAGCCAAGAAGCTTTATAGGTTATAAACCTGAGCAGCTCCAGAGGCGCAAGGTGAGTTAGAAGAAATCAGATAAGAAACATCTCAAACACTGCCAGGCATCAAACTGGAGAGATAAAGCTGGGCCCACCCAGGCACCAAGGGAGAAGAGACAGACCCTCACCTGCTGCAGCCCTCCTTCAGGGTTAGGAAGCCTCACCCTCTAAAACAAGGCAGCTCCCAAAATGAGCCTAAAAATCCTCACCCTGAGTTCCTCACCTGTTCTGCCGGCAGAGGTTGGTCCAACATTTCCACATCAGGATGCTGGGGGAGGTTGTAGAGTTTGCACAGGTCTGAAATTATTCGCTTCAGGTGCTGCAGAAGCTGCACAGAGAGCAGAGAGGTGTCAGAGAAACCCAGCAGCACAGGGAGCTGAGCCTCAGCCATCCACAGCGCTCCCCACTTCCCCAGCGAGCAAAGACCCCACAGATGCTCCTTTCTGCCCTCCAAGCTCAGCAGGATAAAATCCCAAGCGAGAATGCATGGGAAGGCATGCTGACAGGAGTCAGAGCTGCCGATGCTGCGATTCCTAAACCCTCTGTGGGAGCAAAGCCCACCTCAGCAGGTTCTACACTGACACCATAAGCAGCCGCCCCCCCATCCCTCCCCACCAGCATCTCTCACCAGCGTATTTCCTTTCCTGACTTCCACCAGCCTCTCCAGGATAGCTGCCAGGTTGGGATCATCCGACTCCACGGACCAGATGGGGGGAACAGCTGGATAAGACTCCTGGGAGGAAGGAAAAGGGGCTGAGCATTGTAACACCCCCGATCCCATTGCACCGCTCTGACAGCTCAGGGGGAGCTCAAGGCGATCTCAGCACTGAGGAGCATTTGGTGGGGGCTGAGATTGGGGCTCACGCGGGTGCTGATAAGGCCTGGTGCTGCTTCTCAAGCTGGGCTGGAAGTGTCGTAGGAAAGGCTCCCACTCACACTGCCATTAACACGGTGCTGCTCCAGAGAGCCCCGGGCTCCCCGTGTTGGAGCCACAACCCTCGGGAAGCTCCGTGGGTGACGGTGAACGAACCCAGAGCCCAACCCGGCCGGGGGATCCCGCAAACGCCCCACCCCCGCGTGGCCAAAGCCGGCCTCGGTGCTGCAGAACCCTCCCGAGTCCCGCGGCTCTCCCAGGCCGCCGCCCAACGACCGAACGCCGCCCGGTACCGCCGCAGCCCCGGCACGCGGCCCGCCCCGGCCCCGTTAACCGCCCGCCCGGCCCTCACCGTGATGTTGCAGTGGATGCGGACGGGACCCGGCGGCGGCCCCCGGGAAGCGGAACCCCCGGCCCTGGCGCCCGCCCCCGGCACGAACTCGCAGCTGATCTCGTCCGGGCAGGCGCTGCCGATACGGAACCGCTCGTGGCCGCGGTGAAAGATGGACTCGAGCAGCCGGAGCTCCCGTTTCAGGAGCCGCCCGGCCGGGGCCGCCGCCGCCAGCCCAGCCCCGCTCCGCCCGGCTCCCCCCGCCGCCGCCTGCGACCCCGCCGCCTCCTCCGCCCCCGCCCGCTGCATCTTCCCATGGAGGGACCCGCTCCGCCCCGACGGCCCCGGGCCCCGCCGCAGACCCCGGAGCCGGCCCAAGATGGCGGCGGGATGGCCCCGCGCGCCGGAAGTGACCCCTCCCGCCGCGAACGGAAGGGGCGGGGACAATCGCCGGAAGCGCCGGCGTGAGAAGCGGAGCTGTATCGAGTGCCGGAAGTGACGAATCGCGGCGGTGTGGAGCGGAGGGAGGGGCAAAGAGGGGGCGGGGCTCGGTGCGCCCGGAGGGGGAGGGGCTAACAGAGCCGAGGGGCGGGGCCTATGGCTTAGGGGGCGGGGACAGATGAGGGGCGGAGCCTGGGGCGTCCCGGTTTGGGGGTTCCGAAGGTCGGTGCCCCCGGTTCGGGCGGGGCTCTCCCGAGGGTCCGGGTCTGAGCGGAGCGGAGCGGGTCCACGTTCTCCCCCGGATCCAGCCGGTACCGAGGCAGCACAGAGCAGGGGCGGCTGCGGGGAACACCGGGATCTGCCCGGTTCCCTCCCTCTACCCGGTTCCCGGTGCCCCCCCAGCTCCCCATCCCGGTGCTCCCGGTAGCGACAGGGCGGGGGCGGGGCGGCTGCGGCCCCACTGACGGCGGCGCTGACGGCGGCGGAGCGGAGCGAAGCGGGGCGGCCCCGGCACAGCGCACGGCACCGCCTCCCGCCCGGGGCCGCCCCGCCCGGGCCGCCGCCGCCGCCGCCGCCGCCGCCGGCTCCAGCACCGCGGAGAGCGCGGGCAGCACCGGGGACAGCGCCGGGGCAGCGGCACCGGAACCGGCACCGGCGGAGGCAGCGGGCCGCCCCCATGGCGCTGCTTCGCGTCCTCTGCCTCCTCGCCGCGCTCCGACGTAAGCACCGGCACCGGTGGGGGGGGTGGGGGGGGAAGGACCGAGGGGAAGGGGCTGCGGCGGGCCCGGGGCTGCTCCCGGTGGAAGGCGATGTCGGGGGGAGGGGCGGGGAAGGCCCGTTACCGCCCCGCAATGCCCATTGAGGGGCGGGAGCGGGGGTCCGGCGGGGCCGGGACGGTGGGGGTGCGGCTCTGGGACGCTCTCTGGG